AAAAAAAAGAGAAAAAAATGTGAAGTCCATACAAGAAAATATTACAGAATACGAGCTTGCTTCTGACTGGCATATTTCTTCCAGAATGTTACGTTTTCGTTGTTCCTCCTCCAATCTTCGCTTGGATACTTCCACCGCCAATTGCAAATCCGTCCCCACAATCCTCAAAGCAGCGGAAATCTCAGTCTAACTCCCACATAGATTTTTATTTCGTGTTGAATTACTCCGTTTGAAAACGAACAATAATTTTACCCTTTGATTCAACGGGATTGGCGGTTGAGAGGCGGGGCTTCGAGACTCAAGGCTAGTGATCAGAGAGGACGCTCGCGAGAGAGACGCAGAATGCGTTGCGTTCCAGCCGCCGATCCCGTTCAATCAAAGGGTATGCTTAAAACTGAAAAAAAAGATAAAACAGTGATGACTCATATAAGAAATAGGTATGTGCATTTACTATTTTGAAAATACAAGTTTTTCTTGCTTTAATTCGTAGGACGCACCTGGTCATCCATACTGGGGTCGACATTATTGTTGCCAACACGAAGCGAATCAAATACCGAGCTTAAGTCCACAATTGGTACCTTGTTCTCACGAAGCATCTCCCTAAAGTTTGCTTCTTCTCCTTCAAGAAACTGTAGTCATCTTTACATACCTGAGTTGCATCAGAATCACACCTAAAACATTTCGACCTTGTGCAAAGTTCGGACAATTCACAACCGTTTCTGAGGTTAATGGGAATGTTGCTGGGATCTAGAACAGGATCATAACTAGTCAACAGGAATACTAGCGCACTCCAGCGGACCTTCATAGTAGTAGCTCCATTGGCTTTCATACTTTCACACCATTTCTTCACCTGTGCATGCCGACATCTAAAAAGATGCGATCAACTATAACGTGAATTTTCAAGCGTACCTACCCGGCTCCATAAATGCTATCTCCCGGAAATGCATGGACTAAGATTTTCTTCCCACTTTCGGACAACGCTTGGCGAAGCATCACAGACTGGGAAACCTGAG